AAAATTTATTATTATTATTATTATTATTATTATTATTATTGTTTAGAGCGGGGATTTAGTGGATTTTGTGGTCCACTCCTGACACCACGTAACATACTGAAGCCGTGTTGTTAATTTCGGCCTTGTGGGCATGCGATACAAATATAAACCGCTGGCCGGTATCGGCCGCTTACATTACAATTTCATGTTATCCTTTTTTCCCTTCCAATTCATCTCTCTGCCCATCAATAAAGTTACCATTTCCAATTTTTCATTTCAACCACTTTCTCATTCCTTTTGTACCCTGGTATGCTTGAAGCGGCTGGGTCTCTAAAATGAATGGGTGTGATCATGATTTTGTTTTTGTCTGGGATGAAAACAAAAGTTTACCTATCATATATTGATTGCTCTATTTTAGACAGAGATCGCTCAATGCTGTTCCCAGATTACTACTTTTTTGCTGAAAGACGTTTAGTAAGCCATACAATCGAAACTAAATACGTCAAGGACTTGGAATACTGTGAGCTTTTCTGCTACATGAACGACAACTGTGTCAGTGCTAACTTCAAAAAAGATCCAGAGACTGGAGGAATGTCTCTTATTTGTGAACTTAACAACGCCACTCATCTTGAATATGATAGTGACCTTACGACTGATGCCGTTTTTTATTATCGTGGTTCAAAGGTGAGCTACTACTCAAATTTACTTGCTTGTCGCCTCACATTGCAATGAAAACAATTGCTGCAGTGACTGGAGCGCGTACTTGAAATATCCTTCATTCAATCATACGTTTTTTCAAATTCTTTCGTTCATTCAGTCCGTTGATTTTTCCCTTACTTCATCTTTCTTTTATCCTTTAGAATGCCTGTGCTAAGAATTCACTCTGCCAAAATGATGCAGCTTGTCAGTCCGGTTTCACAATCAAGGGATATCGATACTTGTGCCCTCCTGGACTCGAGGGAAAATACTGTGAAAAACGTTGATTTCATAACATGATTGAAACATCCCACACTGGATTGAATTTCTAAGTTTTCCATGCCCTTCACGTCTCTTTGTCGAGTGACTTTCTTTACAGGAGAATGCCTAAGATGTTCTTTAACGACTGACATATGTAATTTATTTGGAATGGTGTTTGTATTGAGATTACATTGCACTGAAGTTTCGTTCGAGTCTGAGCTAACAAGTGATACGATGCAATGATACCAAGTTAAGCTTTGTCACCTCAAAAGAGTTTTCATTTCTATATTGTCTAGCTACACTGTACTAACGTTTTTATGCAATAGGAAAGTTGCGTAGCTCCACTCAGGGAGCCAAAAGATGAAATAGGTAACATTGATTTTTTTTTTATTTCTTTATTTATTTCTTTCAGATATTGATGAATGCCAAGCAAACACCCACGATTGTCATCTGAATGCTACTTGTAATAACACAAATGGATCCTTCATGTGTACCTGTTCATTTGGATTTAACGGAGATGGACGTAACTGTACAGGTACAGTTGAAAGTCGCTAAATTTTTAGATTCTGATAACCTCTATATGACTGTGAGAATGCGTCCGTATGTCGTTATGTCAGTTTTTTCTGCTTGAATGAGTATTTTCTTTTCTTTTTTGTTCATTTTGTTTCTGTTCCTTTGTTTGGTTGTTTTATTGTTCTTCTTGTTTGTTTGTTTGTTCTTTTTTGTTGGTGCTTTCTGTTTTGATGCAATAGGAAAGTTGCGTAGCTCCACTCAGGAGCCAAAAGATGAAATGCTAGACATTTCCTACCAATATCTTGCTTCAGCTTTTTAAGATATCTCTCGTACTATTTCTTTGTTGACGAAAGCTATGGCATTTTATGTTCAAAATGGTAACGGTTCATTTTTGCCGTCGTTTTTACTATTGGAGGTCATAAAATGACTGAGATACTACGAGTGCCCTGATTGGTCAAAAACCTATCGTTTAAAGCAACGGTAAACCCATAAATATTGATATATGCGTTTTTTTAAATATATTTTATAGGAGCAACGGACAGCACTTTATATCGGTTTACTCCACTGCACCGCAACAATCATGTTGCAATGAGGGCGCAATATTCACATGGAGGAATTAAGACGAGTGATCTTTAAAAAAAAAATGGCTCATCTCCTATTTTTAATTTCTAAAATATTTTTTCCATTATCATTTATATTTATAGCCCATCCTTGTTATCATTGCACAAATCTGGATGATTTTGACAGAAAGAGCAGTTACAAAGGAAAGAATCCTGCAAAGTGTGACGACAAACTCAAAGGTTGGTATCGTTTCGTGAGAGATGCAGGAAAACAAATGCCAACCACGTGCGTAAAGGAACGCCGTTGTTGCACAGACCGTCAAGGATGGTTGGACGGTGAACATCCTACAGTGGAAAATGGTATAGTGAAAAGGAAAGTCTGTTTTCGTCGGCATGGAAAGTGTTGTGAAGATTCAGTGCTGATTGATGTAAAAAACTGCGGATCCTATTATATTTACAAACTATTTAAGCCTCCAACTTGTAATATGCGCTATTGCAGCACAGACTGAATATGAACCGAAAGTCAATTAAAATTAATAACGTAAATTTGCTTGCACGAACGCAGACATGAACTGAGAATTGACGAATTGATAATGTAAATGGGCCACCGTAAGGATTATCAAAGCTGACGTTTGGAGCCTTTGCCCATTCGCTCTGACGAAGGGCGAACGCTCGAAATGTCAGCTTTGAAGCACCTTACGGCGGCCAATTTGCACTATCAACGCAGTTGATAGAACCAAAATTAACTTGTTACTCCATCGACACAGCGTCGCAGTCTCTTTAGAAACTTACACCCTTTATTGAGATTTGACAAGGTCAACTTTTTTATCATTCTTGCTAATGCGTGGGAAGTGACTGTAAATAGTAGTCAATCCTAGAAATTTCTAGAATGCCTAGTCATGGTGACGTGGATACTTGAATTTTTTTGATGTCACACGGTGGAACTTTCTAGAACATTTTATCAGGGGATGTTATTATGCAATTTTACTGGAATACTTGTGTAGGCTTTGGATTGTTCTAGGATACGTTTTAAAATTAACAAGAACTCAGTCATGAAGGACTAGTAGTTTCTGTTGTCGACAGACCGATTGACTGTCTTAAAAGCTCTACTGGGGGTGGAGGGAGAGAGCTAACTTGATATACTTCAAAGATTGTGTATTTCAAGAAGAATTGGAAATAACTGTGAATTTTTTTCTGTGGTGAACTAATTTATAATATTTAATAAGCTTAAGTAACTTTTTAGAACGTCACTGTTTTTATTGCTTAAAGGAGTCACTCCTTCGTACGAATTAACATAGGACACGTCAGTTTAATGAAAGAGTTGGGTTTGTAGGAGTGTAATATTATTTCTGCCGGTTAAATAATGCCGTAACGTCAATAACTATTATGCGTAAAAGGTACAATTCTACTTAAGTGTGGGGCTAATCGAACGCTACTTAGAAATAAGATATAACTTATGTAACATAAAATGTTTATTGGGAAGATAAAAAAAAAAA